CCTCCTTCCTTTTCTCCCCTTTTCAACCTTTCTTCCTTCCTCCTCACTTCCTCTATAGGCTCTCCTCTTTCTGGGACCACAGAGGTCACCTTCCCCTCCTCATTGTTAGCCCTTGATTTGATCCTAGTACATCTATCACTCCTCTCCTTATCCCTATGTTCTTCTCTCCTCCAGCCCTTTCATGTACCCTTTCCATTTTGTAATGTAGACCTACAAAATGTTGCCAGGTTCTGTCCATAATGCCTCCTGTCAGTCTCTTCACTGTTACCTCTACCAGATTTCCACGTTTACCGCCCCCCCTCCCCGGTCTCTTTGTGTACTTTTAGAAAGAAATCTTTTACTGGTCTTTCTGTTGTCATTCTGTTGCTGTTGTTGTATATATTTATTCACTCCTCCTGCATTTCTGTTGTCTGTGGTGTTCCAGAAGCAAATAGTTTCTTTAGTTCTAGTTTTCTTTCTAAAAATGTTTCAAACTCTTCCTTACTATTGAACATCCATCTTTTGTCCTTGTATGGTTAAGCTCAAATTTGAAGGATACAGCACCCTGGTCTTTATTCTGAGATCCATTGCTCTTTGGAACATATTCCATCCTCTTCTCCATTTTTAAGTGGGTTCAGAATAATCTTGTGTGGTTTGAATATCTTTTCCTTTATATTTGAAAATCTTTCTCCTAATAGCTTGCAGAATTTGTCCTTTCTGAATTGAATTGTTAAATCTAACCACTGTGTCTTGGAGTTTTCAGCCTTGAGTTTTTTTTCTTATTTTATATCTTTCCAGAGGCGATCTGTGAATTTTTTCAATTGGAATTTCATTTTCTTTGTTCAGAAGTTCTGGATTTCTATTATTTCCTTCATTATAGTGTTAAGGTTTTTTTACTCTTTTATGTTTTTCTGGGAGATCTTTGATCCTTAGTTTTTCTCTACATAGCCTGGCTTTGAGATCCATATGTTTTGCTTGCATAGTGAGTATATTTTCTTTTAATGTTCTTATTTTTTGTTTCTTTTCTTCTAGGTTGTCATTTACTTCTGTGTATTTGCATTTCTAATCTACTGTTTTCTCCTTTGTTTCTTCAGAGGTGCTTTCCATTACAGATTCAAGTTTTTTTTCTTTTATCCTATTTTTTTTTTTTTTGCTATGCAGGCCATAAATTCTGCTTTGTAATTCTCATTTCTCTTTTCAACAACTCAGAACAGTGCTATTGTTCCGTGTTCTTTTCAAATTCCACAAGGTCCTCTGCTTATCAATGTTGGATCATTTTGCAGTATTTATTCATAGATTCCTGAATTAATTTACTGGATCTGGAGGCCATTATTTCCTTCCGTTGTTATTGTTTTTCTCCTATTGATTTACCTGTTTATGTTCAAGGTTTTTGAGATTTCCTCTTCCTGGAAACTTTGGTCCTTTCAGTCTTTTTTTTCCCCTTATTTTCCTTATCATTCACTTCTGGCTCCCTCCCCTTTGGTTGTGATTTCCTTGGGTACTGGATCTCAAAGGAACCTCCTCCCACACTAAGCAATTCATAATTCACCAGCCTAAGTCTCTATCCCAACTGACTTCTTGATGGTTAAAACTGGCCCCATGTGGATACTACGTTCTTTCCTCAGGCTTGGTGGAGTGCTGCACAGTTTCTTACTGGCACCTGTCCCACTCACTCTGTTTCTTAGTTCTCTGACTGGGCACTGGCAGATCAGAGCCTGCACCAACAGAGGCTTGTTTCCCTAGCATTGGCATTGGTGCTTCCAGCTTTCAGTTCCCAATAGATTTTTGTTCCTTAAGTACCATGGCCAAGCTGGCTGTTGAGGTCCAAGGAAACTTCCACAACTGGGGCCAGGGCTCTATAGAACTGGAAAGAGGGAGGGTTTGTGTTGTTTCCTTGGGTCTGCTAGTGCAGCCTCTGAATGTGGGAGGTGGCGAGAGAGGTGATGAATGAGTTCAAAGTCTGTGATTATCAGTTCCTGGGTTTTTTTTTTTTTTGGATTCCAGATGTCCTTGACCATGGAAATGGTTGAAGTTGCTTTATCTTTGGCATATGCTTTCTGTCTTGGAGAGGTTTAAGAGGTTGTGGGGATTGGAGAAAATGTCTATTCTGCCATCTTGTTGTTCATATGACCCAGAAATCATTTCTCCTTTTCATTTTGGATAAGATTAAGTCAGTCACACAGGCTAGGTTGGCATGGATGGGTTACAATTTGTACCATAGTTCTCATTATATTATCACCCCCAAACCTCCAACCCCTGACCCATTTACTCTCTTCCAAACTTCTATTGTGTTGGAACTATCATTTTTCTAGTTATCTAGGCTCACAACTTTGGTGTCATATTTTATTCTTTGTCTTACTCCACTTATCCAATGAGGTGCCACTTTTTGTTGTTAACTTCATGACATATTTCTCCATATTCACCCTAGTTCAAACCTCTCTCCTAAACTCTCTTCTAAACTATTGCAAACGGTTCCTTGCCTCTGGTCTCTCCCTTTTCCATTCCACACACGGCCACAAAAATGATTTTCCTAAAATGCTGGTATGGATTTTTATCGACTCCAAGATCAAATATTACTTCAACATTAATTCAACCTTTCAAAATGTCTATTTTCAGGGGTCTGTTTTATAATGTATGTAAAAATTAGTTTAGTAGTACATTTACAAAATTTATAGTTAGTAAATTTACAATTTTACACACATTCAAGACAGCATGCTCAAAAATGTTTTACTGATAGTGTGCATAATCAAAAAAGTTTGGAGACTACTGATATAAAGAACAGTAGAGAAGCAAATATTTTATGGCAATATTGCTGACTCTCCTGTTCACTGCTTTAGCTCATGTATTTCTCTCCCCCAATGAATGTCTATGTGAGGTTTCATTACCTCCAAATAAATAACAAAAAAGAAAAGGTTCTGGAAAGTCTGGGAAAAAAAAACACAAAAAACCCCATGGCTAATTGGAATCCTCAGAACTCCAAATGTCTAGAATAAATAAAATGGGAAACAAAAAGTGGAAAAGGATTGTGAACAGGTTTTTATATTCCTAAACTGCAGCTTTAAAAACTTCCTTCAAGGGTACCTTATATAACTTGTGATTCTGTTTGCCCTATTTATCTCTTAAAATTGTTTTCACCTAGTTTCAGGAAATGATTCCCAGAGAAAGAGGCTGGGAGAGTAATTTCTGATGATCCTGATACCTTAAGTTAATTATTCCATCCCATTCCCAACCCCCTCCTTCATCCAAGATCATGATCAAAAGTCACTTTGATAGGATAATGACATGTTATACAGTGTCCTCTTTTTCTGTGGCTCTTGAGATTCAGACTCCTGAGAGAGAAGGTAGGACAGTAGCTAATTACTGGAGCCCAGGGAGAGGTAAACACCACAATCAGCAATAGCCAGATGCCTCTGCACAATGAGAGACAACCAGAGGCCAGTACAGCTCTGAGTATTTTTAAGCCAGAAGCTATGAGAAGAAAAGATCCAGAGTAATGTACACAATGAATTCTGTTCAGAAGGTAAGCTGGGGAAATTTATTTCCCTTACCACCTTCCTTGTTTTTTTCTTATTTCTAGTTCATGATACTGAGACAGGTAGTGAAGGACCCTCTCTTGTTCCTTTCCCACAATCTAAGGGTGAGGGCAGCTAGGTGGCACAGTGGATAGAGCACTGGGCTAAGAATCAGGAAGATTCATCTTCCTGATTTCAAATCCAGCCTGACACACTCACTAGTTACGTGACCTTGGACAAGTCATTTAACCCTGTTTGCCTCAGTTCCTTATCTGTAAAATGAGCTGGAGAAGGAAATGGCAAATCCCTCCAGTATCTTTGCCAAGAAAACCCTAAAATGGGGTCATGAAGAGCCCGACATGACTGAAATGACTGAACATCAACAATAAAAGTGAGTGTGATCAGGATTTCCCCTAGCTGTGCCCATAGACTTGAAAGGACAACACCAGGAAGGAAGGCTATGAGATAGCTGGAGATAAGTGTCTCTATACAAAAGACTCTTTGGTCTATTTTCTTTTTCATTTTATTCTATGTACAGTAAACTATGTGATAATAGCATGCTAAGTCTCTGAATCTATGAAATACAGGACACACACTGATATGAGTAGAATCAGGATGAGGTAAAGGCTGATGAGCAGAAGATTTGGTATTTTAATATTTTTGAGTAATAATCTATTTCGCCTTCTAAATTAATTTCGGAGTCAGACAGGGAAAGGTTAATGAAGGGTACTTAGCAACAAAGTTGCAGTGAGACTTCAATGGGGAAAGCACTAGGCATATTTTAGCCTTTTAGGAAAAGGCTATTTTATACAGGCACCAATAAAGTAATTTAGAAGGTCGGCCTGGCAGTTTAAATAATGCACCACCTAGTGAGCAACTCAGATATTGCTCCTAGATAATTAAATTGCCTTGGTAGATAATTATTTTAATAACAAGCAATCTTTCTACTAGTTTATGAAAGGAAGTGCTGGAGCTACACAATCTACACAATTCAATCCAAAATTAAAGGACACTAAATCTACTTTGTTTTTTGCCATTTTCTGGGGAAGTTTTCAATCTGGTATGATTTAAATTAGTTGTTCTAAGATGAGTGCACATGCATTCATATACTAGCTGTTTTCATTTTAAGTGTTTATTAACATTCATATAGTCAGAGGTGTAAAAGCACCATCCTAGGATAAGAACAATTGGTCTAACATATAAACTTTTCAGAGTTAGCATTCCCATGTAAAGGTCTGCTTCTTATAAACAATTTAAAAATAAAGATAGTACCTGAGTTCAAATCTAGCCTCAGACACTTAACACTTACTAGCTGTAAGACCCTAGGCAAGTCACTTAACCCCAATCACCTCCCCAAAAAGCAAATAAATAAATAAATGATAAAGATAGTGTCTCTTTTATACTAATACCATACACATTTCTTAGCACTGATCACAAAAAACTGGCAAAAAAAAAGCCTTTTTATACTAACAACAAATTATGATGAAGTAAATAGAGAAATCATTTTACCTGATGTTAACACACAATCAACATCATGAGAATTATATGAAGCAGTGTAAAAATCTTCTCTAAGGGCTTCCAGCTTCTTGTCATAACAAGGGGCCACAATGATATGGAAAATTTTATCTGGAGACAAGTTCTGCAGAGCAAAAGCAAATCATTACTTCAGGGCTGGCTTAGAACCAACAGTGGTACCTTAGAACTAAGAGTTAAGAAAGAAGTAAAACTTGAGTTCATGTAAAAACAAAAGTTGATGATGACTACACTACAGAAATGTAGCATCATTACTTCTGTCCTGCCACCCAGCTCCATTTAAATCACTTCTCTTATGACTAACAGAAATCTGGTAAACCTGGCATGATGGGGAAATTAGCCAATGAGGGCCCAGTCCTCAGAGAATGTGCAATGTGTTCTAACTCCTGCCAAATCCATGGAGGTCTAGTGAGTCTGCTTCAGGACATATATAATGGAGAGGCTCTCTCCCTGCTGGAGAATAGATACATGTATTCTGTTTTCTGTTTGCTTACTATGTAGTAACAAAAAGACTTAAAATTGACTGCTGAGCTAGAACTGAGTGTGTATTAAAAAGTTTAAACAGATAAAAGCTTTTTCTTTTCTCAGGAGGAAGAAATACTGTAAGGCTCCAACTGGGAACGAAGGCTTGATGCTGCCAGATGACAACCCTCCCTGCTCGGCTGTGAATGAATGGTGCTGCCTCTGTTTCTGTCTTTATTCTTTCCTGATCTTAGGTGAATGAATATCAGAGATGGAATTAGCAGGTTATAACTTTGAGAGCTTTGAAAGGTTGAAAGAGCCATCAGAGGTCAAGAGAATGAAGTCCATTGAAGATTTTACCAGTAATCAACTCTGAGAAGCAATTTGCTTGACTGAGACACTATGTCCTGTAAACAAGGGAGCATCTCATCCACTGGCTATTCTGACCCAGAAGTGAACTTGATTCAGATGGGTATGGTTTGTAGCAATCATTTTATTATGTTTGAGCCCACTGTCCCAGAAACCAAGCGGATATGTAAAAGAGAGAGTGGGCCCTAGTTCAGATGATGTATTTGCACTTCTGTCCTTATTATATTTTCTCAGTAAATATCCCTTTGTAAAAGCTAAATGATGTTAATTGGTTAATTGGTATTGAGGAGAGATTAACTGGTCAAATAGAGATTGGAGTGAAAGCTGGCTATTTATATATGGGGAACACTGTGGTAGGGGGCTCATGAGCAATAGTGTTAGTATGAGAAAACACCTCAACCCTGAGATCTGGAGACCAGACCTGCCAGTCCTACTCTGTGCTACACTGGAACAAACACAAGAAATGTATTCTTGCTTCTTTGAAGCAAGAAGAATAAATCATTAAAAGGGCATATGGTCTAACATGCTTCCAACAAAATGAATCTCTGAATGGGAAAGTACAAGAAATTAAGTGAAATCCTGAAGTCCTTCCCTTAGGAGTTCACAAAAAAAATGTCAAGGTTATAGTTCTTTTCATGGACAGTTAACCTACTCTTGTCATGAAATTCTATCCCTCAATTAACACCTATCTTCAAAGACGCCATTTATTCCTACTTCTGTGCCTTCATTCATGTTCTTTCCCTCATCTGAAGTCCCTTCCCAACTCTTCTCTGACAAATGGTCCATCTCTTGCTCCAAAGAAACAGAAATAGAAAAAAAATGGAAATGGATACAGAAAAAGAATGGAAGTTTTTCAGAGTTACTCCAGCCCACATCAGCCTTGCCCTTTGTTGAACTTCTATAGCAAAGAAACAACAACATTCAGCACTTGATCATATACTATCTTGGGCCAATTTCTAAAGCACTACACAGGCTTACAAAACCACATAACAACCACCCTATTATATAGCAACTGCAAGTATTTTCATTCCCATTTTATAGATGAATAAATTGGAGGTGAGGTGGGGGTGGGGGAGAGAAGAAGAAAGAGAAAGAGAAAGAGAGAGAGAGAGAGAGAGAGAGAGAGAGAGAGAGAGAGAGAGAGAGAGAGAGAGAGATCGAGATCTGATCCCAGCCCAAGGCTCTTTCTACTGTACTCTATTATCACCCAACTAGATTATAAATTTCCCTAATGTAGAGAGGGGCTGGGACTTTCTTCTTTTGTATCCCTTGAAGCTACCTAGAAGAAACTGGTGAAAAACCTAGGGAGATTTATTTAAAAGATTATTTTAAGTGGTACCTAGAAATGGTTCTCTCTATACTTCACTGGTGCTCAAAAGACTACTATTGAAATATCCAAACATCAAGATTTACTGAACCCCTATGTGTGTGCTAGGGCTATTATCTTCCTTCTGAAATTATCTTCAATTTATCCCGTACATATCTTGTTTGCACATCATTGCTTACATGCTGTCTCCTCCTCTAAGACTGTGATTTTTTTGAAGACAAGGGCTGTTAATGTGTTTCTTCATATTACCAGTGCTTAGCACAGTGCCTGGCACACAGCAAGCACTTAATAAATGCTTGTCAATTTGACATATATAAATATATTATATATAAGAAGCACTTAATACAGTGCCTGGCACATAGTAGGCACTTAATAAATGCTTACTGATTTGATTTATTGAAGCATTTGGTGGCATAGCAGATTGAGTGTTGTACCTGGAAGTCAGGAAGACTTGAGTTTTTCAAAACCTGCCTCAGACCCTTAATAAATGTGTGACCCTGGGCAAGTCACTTAACCTTACTAAGCCTCAGTTTCTTCATCTACAAAATGAGGAGAATAATAGCACCAATGTCACTGAGACGATCAAATGAGATAATATGTAATTTGCTTTGCAAACCTTAAAACTCTATATAAATGCTAGTTATTATGATTACTGTATAACATGCATATACGACATACTAATGGGAAAAGTAAACCACAGACACTACAACAGCTAAGTGTTACAGAATAGTAGCTGTATGACCCTTTGGTATCAATGGCTGGGAAGAAAAGGGAAAAAGAATAAAAAAGAGTCGGAGTGAAAGAAAAGAAAATGAAAAATATGTAAATGGCTGCTATTGGCAGAGTTCCATAAATAGCTGGTTGTCCTAGGTACTGCTGCCAACTCTTGCTTTATAACCTTAGAGGGGGACCGTATGACCAGGAATCATTGTGAAAGACTGAGCATTAATGGTCTAAAACATAAAGCTGACTTTAGACTGCGAGCTATTACAAACAGACATAAATCAGAAACTATCAGGTAAATAAGAGACATAGAAAGAAAATCAAATTACCTGGGGCAGCTAGGTGGCGCAGCGGATAGAGTACATAGAGTACCGGCCCTGGAGTCAGGAGGACCTGAGTTCAAATATGGCTTCAGACACTTGACACTTACTACCTATGTGACCCTGGGCAAGTCACTTACCCCATTGCCTAGCCAAAAAAAAAAAAAAAAGCCCAAAACAAAACAAAAAAAGGAAAAAAAAGAAAAGAAAACAAATTTACCTGCTGTCTGGCAAAGTAATCCTTCACCAGTGATCCCATGATCTGTTGGGGGGATTTTGCAGTACATATATGTGGTGTAACTGGGTTACCCAGCACCCTTTCTGCATACTGGATCCAACCTAAAATGACCACAAGGTTTATTTAGTGATGTTGTTAAGTTACTGCTAAGGTAATCTTTAATGCTTCTTCTTCTCCATTCCTAACCTTTTTAATTTCTTATTCACATAAAATGGGGCTGTTTTCTCTTTAACTTAAAGAAGAAAGTTATAAATGAAAAATTTCTTCTCTGTTAGTTCCGAAGGACTTAAAATCAGACTCCTTTATTCATAATTTCTCATTAGTAATAGTAAGCCCATACCTTAACTTTACATTTACATGGTAAGAACAAACTATGTGTATGTCCTCACTCTGGATACAGGATGGGCATTAAGAGATAAAAGGAGATCACATCCTTTACTTCAAAAAGGCTACTTGATAATCATCTAAACTATAAAAACCATCAAAGGACTTTGTGAAAGAACAGTTAAAATTGGAAATTTTAATAGAGACTTGTGCTGAGCCACCGAGAATGGACGAAATTGAAGGTGGCAGAAAGGAAGGATGATGCAAAAGATAATCCATCTTTCACACATAGCAAGTTTTCCGGGCTCTATTCCCAGACTCCACCCTCATGTAAGGAGTGACATCAGTAGACTATGTTATCAGACTTTTACACACACACCACCACCCCGACCAAGGAAATTGCTAAGCATTTTATTAGCCATTCAATCAATAAACATTTATTAAGCACCTACTATGTGCCAAGCACTGCAAAAAAGGGATGCAAAAAGAGGCAAAAGTCAGTCCTTGCTCTCAAGGAGGTAACAGTCTAATGGGGAGACAACATATAAACAAATATATACAAACAAGCTATATAAAGGAGCAATAGGAAATAATTAACAGATGGAAGGCACTTGAATTAAAAGGGATTGGGAAAGGTTTTCTGTAAAAGATGGGATTTTAGATGGGACTTAAAGGAAGCCAAGGAAGTTAGTAGTTGGAGTTGAGAAGGGAAAGTGTTCCAGGCATGGACAACAATCAGAGAAAATGCCCAGAGCCAAGAGATAGAGTGTCTGGTTTGTGGAACAGTCAGGAGACCAAGGTCATTACACTGAAGAGTATGTGATGGGGAAATAAAGTGTAAGAAAATTGGAGGTGGTGGGGGTAGGGGGTGGCCTAAGTTATGAAGGGATGGGAATGTGAAAGAAGATTTTGTATTTCATCCTAGAAGTGATAGGGAGCCACTGGGGTTTATTGAGTAGGGAAAGAGTGACATGATTGTACCTGTGCTTTAGGAAAATCACTTTGATGGATGAATGGAGAATGGATTGGAGAGAGATTTGAGGCAGGTGGATCCAATGGCAGGATACAGTACAGGTGTGAGGTGATGAAGGCCTGCACCAGAGTGGTAGCAATGTCAGAGGAGAGAAAGGGGTATGTTAGACAGATACTAAAAAGGTGAAGTCAACAGGCCTTGGCAACAGATTAGATATGGGTGGTAGGGTGGTGGTGAGAGATAGCGAGGAGTCAGAGATTACTCCTTGGTTGTAAACCTGAGGAGAATGGACATACATCTCTCGACATGGCAGAGGGACAGGGCAGAATGCCATATACATTGTCACATTCAGTCACTTTAGTATTGATTGGTTTTGATTTGTTTTTCATTGTTTCAAAAATGGATTTAATATGGAGGGTGAAGGGTTTATATCTCCTCCTTATCTCTTAAACGATTTTAGTATAATGACAAAAGACATCAATAAACCATTCAAAATAAATAATATTGTGACTATCCCATAACCCCTTGTTTCTCCCCTTAGTGGGCAAGCTTAAATACAATCTTGTATATGCTATTAATGACTGTTATGTGATAAAACAATCCAGTAAAGTCACACAATTCCTTGAGCAAATAACTTTCCCTCAAGATGCCTCAGTTGTGGGGCAGCAAGGTGGTGCAGTGGATAGAGATATGCCCCTGGAGTCAGGAAAACCTGAGTTCAAAGTCAGCCTCAGACACATAACACTCACTAGCTGTGTGACTGTGGGCAAGTCACTTAACCCCAATTGCCTCGCAAAAAAACCAAACAAACAAAAAGCCTCAGTTGTTCAACTCTAAAATAAGGGAGCTAAAACTAATAACCTTTAAAGGTTCTTTTCAGGTCTGTCAGTCACATGAGGAAGACATAGTAAAAGATACAATAGCTACTGACAATCAGCCATAATGTGCCAGAGATATGGGACCCTTGAAGATTGGTGAAAGACTATTGTGATTTCCCAATTACATTATTATAGTAGGACAATAAATTCATTTGGCATTCCCTGAAGACAACTGTCTGGCTCTATGATCTATTGTGCTATTTTATGAGCAATTCATTAATTAAGGACCTTAAACATCTCTTTCTAGGCTGTAAGCTCAATAAAGGTAGGGACCATTCACAGTGTTCTGAGTAGAATATCCTGAATATAATTAGCACTTAAATATCTCCTGACTTGTGACTGAATTAGAAATCATTTTAATACCTTTTTGTAGGCCAGGAAACTGAGGCCAAGAAAGGTAAAGTCGACTAATTAGGGGTAGAACCAGATCTTGCCAGGTTTCTGGGTTCCTACTAATTTACTCTTTCTGCTATGCCAACCTGCCCTATACGATATACCAAAGATATTAAACCTAGGTAATAAGCAGAACTAGGAAGAATTTTAGAGATCATCTTGTCTAATGCTCCTCATTTTCGATATGAGAAAACTAGGCTCCAAAGAAGGAAACATACTTGTACAAAATCTACTATCTGGATCACCAGGGAAAAGGGAGAAAATGGTATGTAGGAAGCTACTAATTCAATTATACTTAGGTTAATGGTCCGGTTATCCTAGAATACCCATGACTTAACATGATCAATGATTTTACCTGAGGAACTTGGTAAGAAAGTGACAAAACTGCTACAGCTTCTCAGACACTCAGACACTCACTAGCTGTGTGACTCTGGGCAAGTCACTTAACCCTAACTGCCTCACAAAAAAACAAAAACAAAAACTGCTACAGCTTTTGTATACAAAAAAAGATGCCTAGATTTTTGAAATTGCTACTGATTGGTTGGTCCCTTTAGCCTGCCTAGGCCTCAGTTTTTTCACTTACAAAATGCACATGACAATTAGATGCAAAACTTTTAATAACCATAGGAAATATTGCGCTAAATAGCTAATAATTAAAGCTATGAAAAGCGAAACAATTATGAAGGTTCATAGGATACTCAGCAAATTGGCAAAAATGATGTAGACGGAAATAACCACATGTAATGTGAACATTATTACACAGAAAGAAATGACAAATATGAGGAATTCAGGGAAACGTAAAAAGATTTATATGAACTGATGCATAATAAAGGAAGAATAACCAGGAAAATAATATGCACAATGACAACAATGAAGACCGAATAATAAAGAATAATATAAATCATACAAATAATAATAACAAAATGAAACTGAATGCTAAGAAAGATGAGATAAAAATAAAAATGATTTGCATAAACCAACACAGCTAAGATTAGAAGCGAAATAGTTAACTGGAAAATATGTTTGCAGGAAATTTACCTGAAAAACATCTTATTTCCAAAATATATAAGGAACTGATTAAAATTTATATGAAAATCCATATATCCAATATATCCATATATATGCAACTGATAAATGGTCTAAGGATATGAATAGGTTTCTTCTCAAGGGAAGAAAACAAAGCCATATGAAAAAAATGATTATAGAAATTCAAATAAAAGCAACTCTAGGTTCTACCTCAATCCCATCAGATTTATAAAAGCTGATGAGAAACGAAAGTGACAAATGTTAGAGGACCTGCTAGAAAATATGTACAGTGATGCCCTTTCAGTGAAGCTGTAGTCTAGCCATTCTGTAAAGCAAATTAGAAAAATGCCCCAAAAGATATTAAACTGCAGAACCCTTTGACCCAGCTATACCACTCCTAGGCCTCTATCCAAAAGAAATAAAAATAAGAGGAAAAGGTATAAAAATATTTGTAGCAGGTTTTTTTATTTGTTTGTTTGTTTTTTAGTAATGGTAATGACCTGGAAACCAAGGGAGTGGCTGTCAATTCAGACATGCCTAAACAAACTATGGTATATGATGTGATAAAATGCTACTGTGGTATAAGAAATAAAGAATTGATTTCAGAGAAACCTGGGAAGACTTGTATGAACTGTTGCAGACCAAAGCGAGCATAATCAGGAGAACAATTTATATGAAAAGATCAATACTGCAAAAGCAAAGGATTCTGAGGAGGCACAACAAAGATGGCAGAGGAGCAAGAAGAGGCAGAGCAAACTTCCAACCCCAAACTCCTCTGAACAGGTCTAAAAGAATACATCTGATCAAATCCTGATGAGGAAATCCAAGAAAAAGGCACAGTGAGTCACTTTTCCACATGAGATAGACAGACAGATCTGCAGACAATGGGGATGGAGTCTGGCCAAGAGCTATCCCTGTGGAGAACTGTGGTACAAGAAAGAAGCTGTACACAGAGGGAAGAAGAGGGCCAGACCCACACTGGAGCATCAGCGATGGGAAGGATGAAGTGCCAACTGGCAGGTTTGTTGTTCTCTATCCAATTCTGTTCACAGATCTAGGGCAGAAGGAACTGTGCCTATGGGGTGGCATTCATGGGAACAGAAGCAGCAAGAATCCCTAGGCTGTGAATGGGGATAGTCTGAAAGAGAAGGCACCAAGATTCAATTTCATTTTATTTTTAGTTCCTTATTCGCTCTCTCTCTCTCTCTCTCTCTCTGTCTCCCTCTCTCCCTCCCTCCCTCCCTCCTCCCCTCCCCCACATTTAGAAAGCAAGAAAAACAAAACCGCTGTTACAGACTATGACAGGATCAGTGGTTTCCTGGCACAGCTTCCTTGACCCTGATTCCACTTTCCTTAGCCCACGCAATCTGATTGGTCCCAGCTTCCCAGATGTAGCTTCCTGGGGAAAGTTTTCATGGAGGTATGTGTCACTGACTTTCAGACTTGGTGAATGCCTAGGACCATGAGAACTGCTATAATATAATAATATAATTAATAATATAAGTGA